CCACAACAGCGGAGCCGCTCCGTCGAAACCGGGCCCGTCGCTGACCGAGAAGCCACCCGGCTCCCATCACAGCACTTCCCCCGCCCCCACCTAAACACTCACTCAAGTAGGGCCTCACGGGGAGGGGGAGGCATCTGCCCCGAGTTGTTACCCGAGAGGCCCCCTCGTGGGGGTGCTCCACGGTTTCTCAGGGTCAGGGAATTGGCAGGCGCACCCCCCCCAACCCCAGGCCAAATGTCACTGCGGCTCCGTGGCTTAACTTAGAATTAAATGACCACGGAGAACTCGCTGAGAACCGCAGTGAGGAGATGCCCAGGACACACGCGGACGAGCAGACAGGCGGGGAGCGGGGCAGCGCGGGTTAAGCGTCTCTACCCATGGTGCACCGCGGGCTAGCGTCTCTACCCATGGTGCACCGCGGATTAACGGCCCTACCCATGATGCACCGCGGATTAACGGCCCTACCCGTGATGCACCGCGGATTAACGGCCATACCCGTGATGCACCACGGATTAACGGCCCTACCCATGATGCACCACGGATTAACGGCCTGACCCATGATGCACCACGGATTAACGGCCCTACCCGTGATGCACCGCGGATTAACGGCCCTACCCATGATGCACCACGGATTAACGGCCCTACCCGTGATGCACCGCGGATTAACGGCCCTACCCATGATGCACCACGGATTAACGGCCCTACCCATGATGCACCGCGGAGTAATGGCCCTACCCATGATGCACCGCGGATTAACGGCCCAACCCATGATGCACCGCGGATTAACGGCCCTACCCGTGATGCACCGCGGATTAACGGCCCTACCCATGATGCACTGCGGATTAACGGCCCTACCCATGATGCACCGCAGATTAACGGCCCTACCCATGATGCACCGCTGATGGGCGCTGCGAGGGCTTTGAAAGGAGCATAAAAAGGGACGCTTTGGGGAAGCACGGGGCCATTTTTATTATTTGACTGGAGATGAACAGGAGGGAGGGATCGGGGAGCCGTCACCTGACTGTTACTCGCACGTCCGTGAGACAGGGCAGAGAACAGCCAGATGCTGGTTGAAGCATCGTCTATCCGCGACCTCCATTGCTGCGAGGTCGGACCGTAAGTACGAGGGAGAGAGAGGTAAGACAAAGGGACGAAATTCGGAGAGGAAATAGAGGGCAGACAGGCCCATTAAAGTATCAGGCGGTAGCGAGATAGGCTAGACCTGCCCTGCTGGACCGTACCGACACGCACGGTCTAGTTCGATACTCGCGGGGAATAGAACCACCGATAGGACAAAGCTGTGTCGTGGTCACTGCGAGTGCGAGGAGGGAGACGGAGTGTCTGGTGTTCGCATACCGGTACGAGTGCGTACGGAGTGTCGTGTGTTCGCGCGCATACGCGGCTGTTTGCAGCGAGTAAGGGAGTAGAACGTGCTTAGTGTCCGTACCTGTACGATCGTTTAAGGTATCGTTCAGCGCGCGCGTACCTACACGAATATCTTCGGCGGTGCCCAGCGCTCCCGTACCTGCGCAACAGCCTGCAGTAGCAATAGCCTAGAGTAGCAATAGCCTAGAGTAGCAATAGCCTAGAGTAGCAATAGCCTAGAGTAGCAATAGCCTAGAGTAGCAATAGCCTAGAGTAGCAATAGCCTAGAGTAGCAATAGCCTAGAGTAGCAATAGCCTAGAGTAGCAATAGCCTAGAGTAGCAATAGCCTAGAGTAGCAATAGCCTAGAGTAGCAATAGCCTAGAGTAGCAATAGCCTAGAGTAGCAATAGCCTAGAGTAGCAATAGCCTAGAGTAGCAATAGCCTAGAGTAGCAATAGCCTAGAGTAGCAATAGCCTAGAGTAGCAATAGCCTAGAGTAGCAATAGCCTAGAGTAGCAATAGCCTAGAGTAGCAATAGCCTAGAGTAGCAATAGCCTAGAGTAGCAATAGCCTAGAGTAGCAATAGCCTAGAGTAGCAATAGCCTAGAGTAGCGCTTTGCGCTCGCGCGCCCGTGTGGCGATGTGGCGGTCGCGCACCCGCGCGATTGTCTAATAGCGGATTAAGCGCCTGGCGTGTGTGGATACGCAAGCGGTGTAAACGGCCCGTTAAATCGGAGCAAAGTCATCGCGGGCGTGTTTGTTTTTGCTGAAGCGCGTGGAGCGTGGGTGGGAGGGAATCCCACGGCGGAGCGTGCCGCGCCTGGTTATCCCCGTGCTGGACGGGGTTTTGCTTTGCCAGCGCGCTCACCGCGACACGCCGCCATTGAACAGGGTAGCGCATCGCGAGCGGAAAGCGCGCGAGCCGCTAATTAAAGCTACGCAAACGCGGTCGACATCCCAGGCAGAGGTACAGGGGGGCGAGGCGTTAGGGGTCGGTGGTCTGGACCTGACAGAGAAGCCGGGGGGGTAGCGGTGTGAGTGGAACGGGGGAGTCGGTGGGCAACGGCCCCGACAATTCAGTGATGGCGGGGGACGGTAGCCCCCACACTGTCTGTGTGTGTCTGTGTGTGTATCTGTGTGTGTGAGTCTGTGTGTGTGTCTGTGTGTGTCTGTGTGTGTGTCTGTGTGTGTATCTGAGTGTGTGTGTGTCTGTGTGTGTCTGTGTGTCTGTGTGTGTATCTGAGTGTGTGTGTCTGTGTGTGTGTGTGTGTGTCTGTGTGTGTGTGTCTGTGTGTGTGTGTGTGGAACATCGTCGCCGGTTAGAAACATTTAGGCTGGCCTGCCTAAGATCCATCCTGGGTTTAACCAGACTGGATTGTGTGAGGAGCTCACAAATCCTTGAAAGATCTGGGCAGGGTCCCATCGGTGAGCTCCTCCGGCAGGCAAGGCTGCGATGGCTGGGTCATGTAGCCCGCATGCCCAGCCACCGCATGCCGAAACAGCTTTTGTTTGGCCGGATTGAGGGGGCTAAGCGGGCGCGGCACAGGCTAGAGAAGAGATGGACTGATGTGGTGCAGGAGGACGTGGAGAGGACTTGCCGATGACTGGTATCAGCGGTGTCAAGATCGGCCTCTGTGGAGGAGGCTCGTGAAGGATGCTACTGGGCAGTTGGAGGCAGTCGCCCTCCAACAACAACGGAGGGCGGAGGAGCGACGCTCACAACAACGAGCGGAGCGCCGGGTGGCTAAAGCACAGCAGGTTGGCACAGTAGGGGGCAAAGGTGGTGCATCAGCCAGTCATCTCAGTCAGTCGACCCGTGGCACCTGGGTCTGCCCCGTGACCTCCTGCCAGCGGGCATTCGACACTACACGTGGCCTCAATGTGCACATGGCCTGGCACAAGCGTCGTGGTGACGTCACCGCCACCTAGTGGCGAATGGCGGTTGTTGTTGTTGTGTGTGTGTGTCTGTGTGTGTCTGTGTGTGTGTAGGTGTGTGTGTGTAGGTGTGTGTCTGTGTGTGTGTGGGGAGCGGTAGTGTATCGGTTAGCGCTACGCTGCGCTGTGAACCTGGCGACCCGGGTTCGATTCCCGCTCACGGCCAACACCAGTGACGATTATCTGAACCGGTCCCGGGCCTCCCCTAGGTCGACTCAGCCTCAAATGAGTACCTGGTGCGGTGTGTAAACATCGCCACTGGGGAGACAAAGGCGGTCGGGCGTGGTGCTGGCCACCCACCCCCTCGTGTACCGTTCCGGCCTTCATAGGTGCTCGCTAACAGCACTTGCCCCTACAGTCTGTTAAGGCTATACGTGGGATCTTTGTCTGTGTGTGTGGTGGGGGGGGGGAGCGGTGGGTGTAGTGGTTAGCGCACCGCGCTACGAACCCGGCGGCCCGAGTTCGATTCCCGCTCACGGCCACCCACCGCAAGTGACGATTATTTCAACCTGGTCCTGGGCCTCCCCTAGGTCGACTCAGCCTCAAACGAGTAAATAATGCGGCGTGTGAACATCGCCACTGGGGAGACAAAGGCGGCCGGGTGTGGTGGATCCAAGTCCCGGGCGAAGCCGGTTAGTACAGCTCATCACGTATAAATATTCTTGGTTCTTTCGGTAAAGTCACGTAAGAAGGAAAAACATGAAACAATAATTTTTTGGCTGTAGTTTTCACACCTGATGATGATTGCTTGTGTTGCAGTTGAAACGTCGTGAGAATTTTATTGTTTTATATTTTTATTATTTTATTGTTTCCCTTCTACGTGGTGACTTTACCGAAAGAACCAAGAATAATAATTTTATTGTTTTATATTTTTATTATTTTATTGTTTCCCTTCTACGTGGTGGTGACTTTACCGAAAGAACCAAGAATAATAATTTTATTGTTTTACAATAATTTTATTGTTTTATATTTTTATTATTTTATTGTTTCCCTATCTACGTGGTGGTGACTTTACCGAAAGAACCAAGAATAATAATTTTATTGTTTTACAATAATTGTATTGTTTTATATTTTTATTATTTTATTGTTTACCTTCTACGTGGTGGTGACTTTACCGAAAGAACCAAGAATAATAATTTTATTTTTTACAATAATTTTATTGTTTTATATTTTTATTATTTTATTGTTTCCCTTCTATGTGGTGACTTTACCGAAAGAACCAAGAATAATAATTTAATTGTTTTACAATAATTTAATTGTTCTATATTTTTATTATTTTATTGTTTCCCTTCTACGTGGTGACTTTACCGAAAGAACCAAGAATATGAATCCCTGCAGTCACGAAAGCTTTAAATAAAAATACGTATAAATAATTAAATACGATTAAAATAATTTGATACAATAAAAATGTTAATTATTAAATATAAATAATTGAATACGAATACATGCAAATAATTAAATATAGACAATTAAAATGAATTGATGTTAGTAATAAAATATAGATTTTTTTACATTTCTAATTTAATATTAATAAATAAAAAAATTAAATGTGCATCGCTTTGACCTCCCCTACCCCGGATGTAACGTCATCACGGCGACTCCCCAATCGCGCGATGATGTCATCGCGGCTGTCCCCACCCTCGAGTATGACGTCACCACGGCGACCACCTCTCTCGCGTGACGTCTCCGCGGCGTCCTTTCCACCCAGAGCGTGACATCATCGCTGCGACTCGCACCCCCCCGTGCGTGACGTCATCGCGTCGGCCCCCACCCCCGCGAGTCACGAGAGACACTCTTAGCAAGATGGCGGACCCTGGAGTCGCAGCCGCTGTACGGGCAAGCGTGTCTCTCTGTGTCTCTGTCTCTGTGTGTCTCTGTGTGTGTCTCTGTGTGTGTGTCTCACTGTGTGTGTCTCACTGTGTGTGTGTCTCACTGTGTGTGTGTCTCACTGTGTATGTGTCTCACTGTGTATGTGTCACTGTGTGTGTGTGTCTCTGTGTGTCTCTGTCTCTGTGTGTGTCTCTGTGTGTGTCTCTGTGTGTGTCTCACTGTGTGTGTCTCACTGTGTGTGTCTCACTGTGTGTGTGTCTCACTGTGTGTGTGTGTCACTGTCACTGTGTGTGTCACTGTGTGTGTCACTGTGTGTGTGTCACTGTGTGTGTGTGTCACTGTGTGTGTGTGTCACTGTGTGTGTGTGTCACTGTGTGTGTGTGTCACTGTGTGTGTGTGTCACTGTGTGTGTGTCTCACTGTGTGTGTGTCTCACTGCGTGTGTGTCTCACTGCGTGTGTGTCTCACTGCGTGTGTGTCTCACTGCGTGTGTGTCTCACTGCGTGTGTGTCTCACTGCGTGTGTGTCTCACTGCGTGTGTGTCTCACTGCGTGTGTGTCTCACTGCGTGTGTGTCTCACTGCGTGTGTGTCTCACTGCGTGTGTGTCTCACTGCGTGTGTGTCTCACTGCGTGTGTGTCTCACTGCGTGTGTGTCTCACTGCGTGTGTGTCTCACTGCGTGTGTGTCTCACTGCGTGTGTGTCTCACTGCGTGTGTGTCTCACTGCGTGTGTGTCTCACTGCGTGTGTGTCTCACTGCGTGTGTGTCTCACTGCGTGTGTGTCTCACTGCGTGTGTGTCTCACTGCGTGTGTGTCTCACTGCGTGTGTGTCTCACTGCGTGTGTGTCTCACTGCGTGTGTGTCTCACTGCGTGTGTGTCTCACTGCGTGTGTGTCTCACTGCGTGTGTGTCTCACTGCGTGTGTGTCTCACTGCGTGTGTGTCTCACTGCGTGTGTGTCTCACTGCGTGTGTGTCTCACTGCGTGTGTGTCTCACTGCGTGTGTGTCTCACTGCGTGTGTGTCTCACTGCGTGTGTGTCTCACTGCGTGTGTGTCTCACTGCGTGTGTGTCTCACTGCGTGTGTGTCTCACTGCGTGTGTGTCTCACTGCGTGTGTGTCTCACTGCGTGTGTGTCTCACTGCGTGTGTGTCTCACTGCGTGTGTGTCTCACTGCGTGTGTGTCTCACTGCGTGTGTGTCTCACTGCGTGTGTGTCTCACTGCGTGTGTGTCTCACTGCGTGTGTGTCTCACTGCGTGTGTGTCTCACTGCGTGTGTGTCTCACTGCGTTTCACTGCGTGTGTGTCTCACTGCGTTTCACTGCGTGTGTGTCTCACTGCGTTTCACTGCGTGTGTGTCTCACTGCGTTTCACTGCGTGTGTCTCACTGCGTTTCACTGCGTGTGTCTCACTGCGTTTCACTGCGTGTGTCTCACTGCGTTTCACTGCGTGTGTCTCACTGCGTTTCACTGAGTGTGTCTCACTGCGTTTCACTGCGTGTGTCTCACTGCGTTTCACTGCGTGTGTCTCACTGCGTTTCACTGCGTGTGTCTCACTGCGTTTCACTGCGTGTGTCTCACTGCGTTTCACTGCGTGTGTCTCACTGCGTTTCACTGCGTGTGTCTCACTGCGTTTCACTGCGTGTGTCTCACTGCGTTTCACTGCGTGTGTCTCACTGCGTTTCACTGCGTGTGTCTCACTGCGTTTCACTGCGTGTGTCTCACTGCGTTTCACTGCGTGTGTCTCACTGCGTTTCACTGCGTGTGTCTCACTGCGTTTCACTGCGTGTGTCTCACTGCGTTTCACTGCGTGTGTCTCACTGCGTTTCACTGCGTGTGTCTCACTGCGTTTCACTGCGTGTGTCTCACTGCGTTTCACTGCGTGTGTCTCACTGCGTTTCACTGCGTGTGTCTCACTGCGTTTCACTGCGTGTGTCTCACTGCGTTTCACTGCGTGTGTCTCACTGCGTTTCACTGCGTGTGTCTCACTGCGTGTGTCTCACTGCGTGTGTCTCACTGCGTGTGTCTCACTGCGTGTGTCTCACTGTGTGTGTCTCACTGTGTGTCTCACTGTGTGTGTCTCACTGTGTGTCTCACTGTGTGTGTCTCACTGTGTGTCTCACTGTGTGTGTCTCACTGTGTGTCTCACTGTGTGTGTCTCACTGTCTCACTGTCTCACTGCGTGTGTCCGTGTAGAGGCCCCGCGTGTCCGCGTGCCAGGCGGATCAGTACGCGGGGACACGGAGACGTTCGCTACTCGTGGCTGTGGGCCTGCTACTGAGGGAGGCTGGCTTCGACTCCACGTCACGGAGCGCCGTGGAGACGCTGACGGAGATGATGCAGAGCTGTGAGACACGCGGGGAGAGAGACACGGGGGGAGAGACACGGGGAGAGAGAGACACGGGGGGAGAGAGACACGGGGGGAGAGACACGGGGAGAGAGAGACACGGGGGAGAGAGACACGGGGGGAGAGAGAGACACGGGGAGAGAGAGAGAGACACGGGGAGAGAGAGACACGGGGAGAGAGACACGGGGGAGAGAGACACGGGGGGAGAGAGACACGGAGACGTTCGCTACTCGTGGCTGTGGGCCTGCTCCTGAGGGAGGCTGGCTTCGACTCCACGTCACGGAGCGCCGTGGAGACGCTGACGGAGATGATGCAGAGCTGTGAGACACGCGGGGAGAGAGACACGGGCACAGAGAGACACGGGGAGAGAGACACCGGGGGAGAGAGAGACACGGGGAGAGAGAGAGAGACACGGGGAGAGAGAGAGAGAGACACGGGGAGAGAGAGACACGGGGAGAGAGAGAGAGACACGGGGAGAGAGAGAGAGACACGGGGAGAGAGAGACACGGGGAGAGAGACACGGGGGAGAGAGACACGGGGGGAGAGAGACATGGGGAGAGAGAGAGACACGGGGAGAGAGAGACACACGGGGAGAGAGACACGGGGAGAGAGACACGGGGAGAGAGACACGGAGACGTTCGCTACTCGTGGCTGTGGGCCTGCTACTGAGGGAGGCTGGCTTCGACTCCACGTCACGGAGCGCCGTGGAGACGCTGACGGAGATGATGCAGAGCTGTGAGACACGCGGGGAGAGAGACACGGGCACAGAGAGACACGGGGAGAGAGACACGGGGGGAGAGAGAGACACGGGGAGAGAGAGAGAGACACGGGGAGAGAGAGAGAGAGACACGGGGAGAGAGAGACACGGGGAGAGAGAGAGAGACACGGGGAGAGAGAGAGAGACACGGGGAGAGAGAGACACGGGGAGAGAGACACGGGGGAGAGAGACACGGGGGGAGAGAGACATGGGGAGAGAGAGAGACACGGGGAGAGAGAGACACACGGGGAGAGAGACACGGGGAGAGAGACACGGGGAGAGAGACACGGAGACGTTCGCTACTCGTGGCTGTGGGCCTGCTACTGAGGGAGGCTGGCTTCGACTCCACGTCACGGAGCGCCGTGGAGACGCTGACGGAGATGATGCAGAGCTGTGAGACACGCGGGGAGAGAGACACGGAGGGGGAGAGAGACACGGGGGGAGGGCTGGAGACACACGGGGAGAGAGAGAGAGACACGGGGAGAGAGAGACACACGGGGAGAGAGACACGGGGAGAGAGACACGGGGAGAGAGACACGGGGAGAGAGACACGGAGACGTTCGCTACTCGTGGCTGTGGGCCTGCTCCTGAGGGAGGCTGGCTTCGACTCCACCTCACGCAGCGCCGTGGAGACGCTGACGGAGATGATGCAGAGCTGTGAGACACGTGGGGAGAGAGACACGGGCACAGAGAGACACGGGGGGAGGGCTGGAGACACACGGGGAGAGAGAGAGAGACACGGGGAGACAGAGAGACACGGGGAGAGACACGGAGACGTTCGCTACTCGTGGCTGTGGGCCTGCTCCTGAGGGAGGCTGGCTTCGTCTCCACGTCACGGAGCGCCGTGGAGACGCTGACGGAGATGATGCAGAGCTGTGAGACACGCGGGGAGAGAGACACGGGCACAGAGAGACACGGGGGGAGGGCTGGAGAGACACGGGGAGAGAGAGAGAGACACGGGGAGACAGAGAGACACGGGGAGAGACACGGAGACGTTCGCTACTCGTGGCTGTGGGCCTGCTCCTGAGGGAGGCTGGCTTCGACTCCACGTCACGGAGCGCCGTGGAGACGCTGACGGAGATGATGCAGAGCTGTGAGACACGCGGGGAGAGAGACACTGGCACAGAGAGACACGGGGGGAGGGCTGGAGACACACGGGGAGAGAGAGAGAGACACGGGGAGACAGAGAGACACGGGGAGAGACACGGAGACGTTCGCTACTCGTGGCTGTGGGCCTGCTCCTGAGGGAGGCTGGCTTCGTCTCCACGTCACGGAGCGCCGTGGAGACGCTTACGGAGATGATGCAGAGCTGTGAGACACGCGGGGAGAGAGACACGGGGGGAGAGAGACACGGGGGGAGAGAGACACGGGGGGAGGGGTGGAGAGACACGGGGAGAGAGAGAGACACGGGGAGAGAGACACGGGGGAGAGAGACACGCGGGGAGAGAGACACGGGGGGAGAGAGACACGGGGGAGGGGGGGAAACACGAGGAGAGGGGTGGAGAGACACAGAGGGTGTGTTGATGATGTTGATGATGGCGGTGATGGCGGTGATGGTGATGGCGGTGATGATGTTGATGATGCTGATGGCGGTGATGGCGGTGATGGTGATGGCGGTGATGATGTTGATGATGCTGATGGCGGTGATGGCGGTGATGATGTTGATGGTGGTGATGATGTTGATGATGTTGATGATGTTGGTGGTGTTGGTGGTGATGTTGGTGGTGATCGTGGAGGTTGTAGTGATGGTGGTGGTGATGTTGGTGGTGGTGATGTTGATGATGTTGATGTTGTTGATAGCGGTGATGGCGGTGATGATGTTGATGGTGGTGATGATGTTGATGATGTTGATGATGTTGATGTTGTTGATGGTGATGATGATGTTGATGATGGTGATGTTGTTGATGATGTTGATGGTGGTGATGGTGTTGATGGTGATGATGATGTTGATGATGGTGATGTTGTTGATGATGTTGATGGTGGTGATGGTGGTGATGATGTTGATGATGGTGATGATGTTGATGTTGTTGATGGCGTTGATGTTGTTGATGATGTTGATGATGGAGCTGATGTTGATGATGTTGATGTTGTTGATGGCGGTGATGTTGATGGTGATGTTGATGGTGATGATGTTGATGGTGGTGATGATGTTGATGATGGAGCTGATGTTGATGATGTTGATGGCAGTGATGATGTTGATGTTGTTGATGGTGATGATGTTGTTGATGGTGTTGATGGTGGTGATGAAGTTGATGATGGTGATGATGTTGTTGATGGTGTTGATGATGTTGATGATGGTGCAGACATCTCTGAGATTGGTCGCAGTGCGCGGGCGTTCTGTGAGCACACCGCTAGGACCCAGCCCACCTTGCCTGATGTCATCGTCTGCCTCTGTGAAATGGGTAAACTACTACACTGTACACTACACTGTACACTACTACACTGTACACTACACTGTACACTACTACACTATACACTACACTACACACAACACTACACTGTACACTAAACTGTACACTGCACTGTACACTACGCTGTACACTACACTATACACTACACTATACACTACACCACACACTACACTACTACACTATACACTACACTACTACACTATACACTACACTACTACACTACACACTACACTACACACTACACTATACACTACACTACACACTACACTGCTACACACTACACTACACTGCTACACACTACACTACACTACTACACACTACACTGTACACTACACTTCACACTACACTATACACTACACTATACCACACACTACACTACTACACTATACACTACACTATACACTACACTACTACACTACACACTACACTACACACGACACTACACACTACTACACTACACTACTACACTACACTACTACACTACACACTACACTATACACTACTATACACTACACTATATAGTACACTACACACTATACACTACACTACACACTACACTACACACTACACTATACACTACACTACTATACACTACACTATACACTACACTACCACACTACACCACACACTACACTACACTGTACACTACACTATACACTACACACTACACTATACATGACACTACACACTACACTGTACACTACTACACACTACACTATACATTACACTACACACTACACTACTACACTACACACTACACTACTATACACTACTCTACACTACTATACACTATATACTACACTACTATACACTACACTATATACTACACTACACACTACACTATATACTACACTATACACTACACTACTACACTACACTACACACTACACTATACACTACACACTACACTACTACACTACACTACTACACTACCACGCACTACACTACACACTACACTACACACTACACTACACTATACACTACACACTACACTACTACACACTACACTACACACTACACTACACTACTACCACACTACACACTACACTACACACTACACTACACTACTACACACTACACTACTACACACTACACTACACACTACACTACTACACACTACACTACACACTACACTACACACTACACTACCACACTACACACTACACTACACACTACACTACACTACTACACTACACACTACACACTATACACTACACTACCACACTACACTACTCACTACACTACACACTATACACTACGCTACACACTACACTACTACACACTACACACTACACTACACACTATACACTACACACTACACTACACACTACACTACACACTACACTACACTACTACACACTACACTACACACTACACTACACACTACACTACCACACTACACACTACACTACACACTACACTACACTACTACACACTACACTACACACTACACTACACACTACACTACTACACACTACACTACTACACTACACTACTACACACTACACTACACACTACACTACACACTACACTACACTATACACTACACACTACACTACTACACACTACACTACACACTACACTACACTACTACCACACTACACACTACACTACACACTACACTACACTACTACACACTACACTACTACACACTACACTACACACTACACTACACTACTACACACTACACTACACACTACATTACACACTACACTACCACACTACACACTACACTACACACTACACTACACTACTACACACTACACTACACACTACACTACACACTACACTACACTACCACACTACACTACCACACTACACTACACACTATACACTACACTACACACTACACTACTACACACTACACTACACACTATACACTACACACTACACTACACACTACACTACACACTACACTACACTACTACACACTACACTACACACTACACTACACACTACACTACCACACTACACACTACACTACACACTACCCTACACTACTACACACTACACTACACACTACACTACACACTACACTACTACACACTACACTACACTACTACACACTACACTACACACTATACACTACACTACACACTACACTACACACTACACTACACTATACACTACTACACTATACACTACTACACTATACACTACACTACCACACTACACTACACTACACACTACACTACTACACTACACTACACACTACACTATACACTACACTACTACACTACACACTACACTACACACTACACTACACACTACACTACACTACTACACTACACACTACACTACACTGTGCCACGGTGTCCGCGCCCTTCCCAGTCTGTGCTGCCACGTGCCCCTCACGGCCCTTGCCCCCGCAGCGTGCTGAGGCTACGCTCCGTGCGGGGGACCTTTGTCTGTGCTTGTGTCTCAGGGTTTGACGTGGAGGCACTGCCGGACTACGCCAGACACAGCCACTCCTCGTTACCGGCACGTGAGTGGGAACACCGTCACCACCATCATCATCATCGTCACCATCATCACCACCAACATCATCATCATCACCATCATCATCACCGTCATCATCACCAGGCACAGCCACTCCTCGTTACCGGCACGTGAGTGGGAACACCGTCACCATCATCATCATCATCACCACCATCATCGTCACCATCATCACCACCGTCATCATCACCAGGCACAGCCACTCCTCGTTACCGGCACGTGAGTGGGAACACCGTCACCACCATCATCATCATCGTCACCATCATCACCACCAACATCATCATCACCACCAGGCACAGCCACTCCTCGTTACCGGCACGTGAGTGGGAACACCGTCACCATCATCACCGTCATCACCATCACCGTCATCGTCACCACCATCATCACCAACATCATCATCATCACCAACATCATCATCATCGTCACCATCATCACCACCAACATCATCATCACCACCAGGCACAGCCACTCCTCGTTACCGGCACGTGAGTGGGAACACCGTCACCACCATCATCATCGTCACCATCATCACCACCAACATCATCATCACCACCAGGCACAGCCACTCCTCGTTACCGGCACGTGAGTGGGAACACCGTCACCACCATCATCACCGTCATCATCATCATCACCGTCATCACCAACATCATCATCATCACCAACATCATCATCATCGTCACCATCATCATCACCGTCATCATCACCAGGCACAGCCACTCCTCGTTACCGGCACGTGAGTGGGAACACCGTCACCATCATCATCATCATCGTCACCATCATCACCACCGTCATCACCAACGTCATCATCAACATCACCAACATCATCATCACCAGCATCACCATCACCGTCACCATCATCATCACCGTCATCATCACCAACGTCATCATCGTCATCATCGTCATCACCAACATCATCACCATCATCATCATCACCATCATCACCATCACCATCATCATCACCGTCACCGTCATCATCACCAACGTCATCATCGTCATCACCAACATCATCATCACCGTCACCATCATCACCATCGTCATCACCGTCATCACCGTCATCACCACCAACATCATCATCGTCATCATCGTCATCATCGTCATCACCAACATCATCGTCATCACCATCAACATCATCACCATCGTCATCACCATCATCACCATCATCACCACCAACATCATCATCGTCATCATCGTCATCACCAACATCATCATCATCACCGTCACCATCATCACCGTCACCATCATCGTCATCACCATCATCACCATCATCACCACCAACATCATCATCGTCATCATCGTCATCACCAACATCATCATCATCACCGTCACCATCATCACCATCATCATCACCATCATCATCATCGTCACCATCATCATCATCGTCACCATCATCATCATCGTCACCATCATCATCATCACCGTCACCATCATCATCATCATCACCGTCACCATCATCATCATCGTCACCATCATCATCATCACCATCGTCATCATCAACATCATCATCATCACCATCAACATCATCACCATCGTCATCACCATCATCACCATCATCACCACCAACATCATCATCGTCATCATCGTCATCACCAACATCATCATCATCACCGTCACCATCATCACCGTCACCATCATCATCACCATCATCATCATCGTCACCATCATCATCATCACCATCGTCATCATCAACATCATCATCATCACCACCAGGCACAGCCACTCCTCGCTGCCGGCACGTGAGTGGCAACGCCATCATCATCATCATCACCACCATCACCGTCACCATCACCACCATCATCACCGTCACCATCATCATCACCACCTCCACCATCACCACCATCATCACCATCACCATCGTCATCATCATCATCACCGTCACCATCATCATCACCACCTCCACCATCACCACCATCATCACCATCACCATCGTCATCATCATCATCACCGTCATCACCATCATCACCACTGTCATCACCATTACCACCATCACCATTACCACCATCATCACCACCATTACCACCATCATCACCACCATCATAACCACCGTCACCATCATCACCCCCATCACCATTGCCGCCACCACTATCATCACCACCACCATCACCATGCATGTGGTGGTGGTTGTGGTGGTGTCTAACACTGTGGTGGTTGTGGTGGTGGTTGTGGTGGTGGTGGTTGTGGTGTTGGTTGTGGTGTTGTCTAACACTGTGGTGGTTGTGGTGGTTGTGGTGGTGGTGGTTGTGGTGTTGGTTGTGGTGTTGTCTAACACTGTGGTGGTTGTGGTGGTTGTGGTGTTGGTTGTGGTGGTGTCTAACACTGGTGGTGGTGGTGGTTGTGGTGGTGGTGTTTAACACTGTGGTGGTGTTGGTTGTTGTGGTGTTGTCTAACACTGTGGTGGTTGGGGTGGTGGTTGTGGTGGTTGTGGTGTTGGTTGTGGTGTTGGTTGTGGTGTTGTCTAACACTGTGGTGGTTGTGGTGGTTGTGGTGTTGGTTGTGGTGGTGTCTAACACTGTGGTGGTGGTGTTGGTTGTGGTGGTGGTGTCTAACACTGTGGTGGTTGTGGTGGTTGTGGTGGTGGTTGTGGTGGTGGTTGTGGTGGTGTCTAACACTGTGGTGGTGGTGTTGGTTGTTGTGGTGTTGTCTAACACTGTGGTGGTTGTGGTGTTGGTGTCTAACACTGTGGTGGTTGTGGTGGTTGTGGTGGTTGTGGTGTTGGTTGTGGTGGTGTCTAACACTGTGGTTGTTGTGGTGGTTGTGGTGGTGGTTGTGGTGTTGGTTGTGGTAGCCGCGGGCAGCCATGCTCCCGCCCCAGCCCGCGTCTTGCCGACCGGAGTCCGAAGGAGCCGGCCAGCACACATCCCTCAGTACTACCCTGAGCTACCGGACCCACACACCTACATACGCACTCCGGTAATCACCACTCACTCACTCACTCACCACACATCCCCCAGTACTACCCTGAGCTACCGGACCCACACACCTACATACGCACTCCGGTAATCACCACTCACTCACTCACTCACCACACATCCCTCAGTACTACCCTGAGCTACCAGACCCACACACCTACATACGCACTCCGGTAATCATCACTCACTCACTCACTCACCACACATCCCTCAGTACTACCCTGAGCTACCAGACCCACACACCTACATACGTACTCCGGTAATCACCACTCACTCACCACTCACTCACCACTCACTCACACACTCACCACACATCCCTCAGTACTACCCTGAGCTACCAGACCCACACACCTACATACGTACTCCGGTAATCACCACTCACTCACCACTCACTCACCACTCACTCACACACTCACCACACATCCCTCAGTACTACCCTGAGCTACCAGACCCACACACCTACATACGTACTCCGGTAATCACCACTCACTCACCACTCACTCACCACTCACTCACACACTCACCACACATCCCTCAGTACTACCCTGAGCTACCAGACCCACACACCTACATACGTACTCCGGTAATCACCACTCACTCACCACTCACTCACCACTCACTCACACACTCACCACACATCCCTCAGTACTACCCTGAGCTACCAGACCCACACACCTACATACGTACTCCGGTAATCACCACTCACTCACCACTCACTCACCACTCACTCACACACTCACCACACATCCCTCAGTACTACCCTGAGCTACCAGACCCACACACCTACATACGTACTCCGGTAATCACCACTCACTCACCACTCACTCACCACTCACTCACACACTCACCACACATCCCCCAGTACTACCCTGAGCTACCGGACCCACACACCTACATACGCACTCCGGTAATCACCACTCACTCACTCACTCACCACACATCCCCCAGTACTACCCTGAGCTACCGGACCCACACACCTACATACGCACTCCGGTAATCACCACTCACTCACTCACTCACCACACATCCCTCAGTACTACCCTGAGCTACCAGACCCACACACCTACATACGCACTCCGGTAATCATCACTCACTCACTCACTCACCACACATCCCTCAGTACTACCCTGAGCTACCAGACCCACACACCTACATACGTACTCCGGTAATCACCACTCACTCACCACTCAATCACCACTCACTCACACACTCACCACACATCCCTCAGTACTACCCTGAGCTACCAGACCCACACACCTACATACGTACTCCGGTAATCACCACTCACTCACCACTCACTCACCACTCACTCACACACTCACCACACATCCCTCAGTACTACCCTGAGCTACCAGACCCACACACCTACATACGTACTCCGGTAATCACCACTCACTCACCACTCACTCACCACTCACTCACACACTCACCACACATCCCTCAGTACTACCCTGAGCTACCAGACCCACACACCTACATACGTACTCCGGTAATCACCACTCACTCACCACTCACTCACCACTCACTCACACACTCACCACACATCCCTCAGTACTACCCTGAGCTACCAGACCCACACACCTACATACGTACTCCGGTAATCACCACTCACTCACCACTCACTCACCACTCACTCACACACTCACCACACATCCCTCAGTACTACCCTGAGCTACCAGACCCACACACCTACATACGTACTCCGGTAATCACCACTCACTCACCACTCACTCACCACTCACTCACACACTCACCACACATCCCTCAGTACTACCCTGAGCTACCAGACCCACACACCTACATACGTACTCCGGTAATCACCACTCACCCACTCACTCAGCCACTCACTCACTCACACACTCACCCACTCACTCACTCACCACACATCCCTCAGTACTACCCTGAGCTACCGGACCCACACACCTACATACGCACTCCGGTAATCACCACTCACTCACTCACTCACCCACTCACTCACCACACATCCCTCAGTACTACCCTGAGCTACCGGACCCACACACCTACATACGCACTCCGGTACTCACCACTCACTCACTCAGCCACTCACTCACTCACTCAGACACTCACTCACTCACACACTCACTCACTCACACACTCACTCACTCACTCACCACACATCCCTCAGTACTACCCTAAGCTACCGGACCCACACACCTACATACGCACTCCGGTACTCACCACTCACTCACTCAGCCACTCACTCACTCAGACACTCACTCACTCACTCAGCCACTCACTCACTCACACACTCACCCACCCACTCACTCACTCACACACTCACTCACTCACTCACCACACATCCCTCAGTACTACCCTGAGCTACCGGACCCACACACCTACATACGCACTCCGGTAATCACCACTCACTCACACACTCACCACACATCCCTCAGTACTACCCTGAGCTACCGGACCCACACACCTACATACGCACTCCGGTAATCACCACTCACTCACTCACTCACCCACTCACTCACCACACATCCCTCAGTACTACCCTGAGCTACCGGACCCACACACCTACATACGCACTCCGGTACTCACCACTCACTCACTCAGCCACTCACTCACTCACTCAGACACTCACTCACTCACACACTCACTCACTCACACACTCACTCACTCACTCACCACACATCCCTCAGTACTACCCTAAGCTACCGGACCCACACACCTACATACGCACTCCGGTACTCACCACTCACTCACTCAGCCACTCACTCACTCAGACACTCACTCACTCACTCAGCCACTCACTCACTCACACACTCACCCACCCACTCACTCACTCACACACTCACTCACTCACTCACCACACATCCCTCAGTACTACCCTGAGCTACCGGACCCACACACCTACATACGCACTCCGGTAATCACCACTCACTCACACACTCACCACACATCCCTCAGTACTACCCTGAGCTACCAGACCCACACACCTACATACGCACTCCGGTAATCACCACTCACTCACTCACCACTCACACACTCACTCAGCCACTCAGCCACTCACTCACTCAGCCACTCACTCACACACTCACCACTCACTCACACACTCACTCACTCACACACTCACTCACCACACATCCCTCAGTACTACCCTGAGCTACCGGACCCACACACCTACATACGCACTCCGGTAATCACCACTCACTCACCACTCACTCACTCACCACTCAATCACCACACATCCCTCAGTACTACCCTGAGCTACCGGACCCACACACCTACATACGCACTCCGGTAATCACCACTCACTCACTCACTCACCACTCACACACTCACTCACCCACTCACTCACTCACCACTCACTCACACACTCACTCACTCACACACTCACTCACCACACATCCCTCAGTACTACCCTGAGCTACCGGACCCACACACCTACATACGCACTCCGGTAATCACCACTCACTCACTCACTCACACACTCACTCACTCAGCCACTCACTCACTCACACACTCACTCACTCAGCCACTCACTCACTCACTCAGCCACTCACTCACTCACTCACACACTCACTCACCACACATCCCCCAGTACTACCCTGAGCTACCAGACCCACACACCTACATACGTACTCCGGTAATCACCACTCACTCACTCACACACTCACTCACACATCCCTCAGTACTACCCTGAGCTACCTGACCCACACACCTACATACGCACTCCGGTACTCACCACTCACTCACCACTCACTCACCACTCACTCACTCACTCACCACACATCCCTCAGTACTACCCTGAGCTACCGGACCCACACACCTACATATGCACTCCGGTAATCACCACTCACTCACCACTCACTCACTCACTCAGCCACTCACTCACTCACTCACACACTCACTCACTCAGCCACTCACTCACTCACTCACCCACCCACTCACTCACTCACACACTCACTCACCACACATCCCCCAGTACTACCCTGAGCTACCGGACCCACACACCTACATACGCACTCCGGTACTCACCACTCACTCACCACTCACTCACCACTCACTCACTCACTCACCACACATCCCTCAGTACTACCCTGAGCTACCAGACCCACACACCTACATACGCACTCCGGTAATCACCACTCACTCACTCACCACACATCCCTCAGTACTACCCTGAGCTACCAGACCCACACACCTACATACGTACTCCGGTAATCACCACTCACTCACTCACACACTCACTCACTCACCCACCCACTCACTCACTCACCACACACTCACCACACATCCCTCAGTACTACCCTGAGCTACCGGACCCACACACCTACATACGCACTCCGGTAATCACCACTCACTCACTCACTCACCACTCACTCACTCACTCAGCCACTCACTCACTCACTCACACACTCACTCACTCAGCCACTCACTCACTCACTCACCCACCCACTCACTCACTCACTCACACACTCACTCACCACACATCCCCCAGTACTACCCTGAGCTACCGGACCCACACACCTACATACGCACTCCGGTACTCACCACTCACTCACCACTCACTCACCACTCACTCACTCACTCACCACACATCCCTCAGTACTACCCTGAGCTACCAGACCCACACACCTACATACGCACTCCGGTAATCACCACTCACTCACTCACTCACCACACATCCCTCAGTACTACCCTGAGCTACCAGACCCACACACCTACATACGTACTCCGGTAATCACCACTCACTCACTCACACACTCACTCACTCACTCACCCACCCACTCACTCACTCACCACACACTCACCACACATCCCTCAGTACTACCCTGAGCTACCGGACCCACATACCTACATACGTACTCCGGTAATCACCACTCACTCACTCACCACTCACTCACCACTCACTCACCATTCACTCACCACACATCCCTCAGTACTACCCTGAGCTACCAGACCCACACACCTACATACGCACTCCGGTAATCACCACTCACTCACTCACTCACCACTCACACACTCACTCAC